AGCATTTTATGAGAAATTTTTCATTTAGCACCAGCTTTTAATATTTCAGCATAATATTTTCTTACATCTGTATAGCAATGAATTTTTCAAAATATTTTATACCCATTATCTTAATTTTTGTTCTAATTTCTCATTATGTAAGTGCTACCTACTATTCATGCTCAGCTAGCACTTATGAAATGAGATGACAGTGCAAAATTAAGTCAAAGATTAAGTTAGTCAAGGGACCAGACCTAAAACCACTTAGTCTGAAACATTTTTGGTACATTTCCGTCTGTCCCCACTATGTGTCAGGTAATGGATCCCAAAATCCTACTACCATATTTACTAAAATAATCCTTCAACCTCACCTCAGTTTTACCTTCTTAACTGCAAAAAGGATGATGAGGACCTAGATCACTGACAAATACTTACTATCAGCCAGAGAAATCTGCCTTACATAAAATCTAGTCAGTCTTTCTACAGCTCCTCTCTCCACCAGCCTACCTGCTCTTTTTGGCTACCATCCCAATCACCCATCTTCTCTTCCTCTTTTCCCACTCTAAAAGCATCCTCTGCCCACTCACCTTCTGCCCAGTCCTGCCCAGTCCACATGGGGAGCAAAATTTCCAGGCCCAAGGAAAAAAGTAACACAGAAAAAACATGCCTCTCTACCTGCATGCTTCATCCAATAGTTAAGGCAACTCAGATAACAATTTAAGCCACCAGTCATTACTTTCAATGTGTACCCATAAGCTCCCTGCATCCCAAACAGCACAGCTTTGCCTTAGTTACTACTGGACCTCACAGGAGGAAAAAAAAGAAACTTTGTGTGTAGATAATTTTATGTTCTTTCCACAAAATGGGAAGGGGATGGTGTGAGACTAGAAGAAAGAACTGCAAACTAAAGGCTACAAATATTTGAGTGTAAACAGTATATTTTAAATAATATAATCACCATATTATTTCTTAAATTTAAATTTTTTCTATTATTTCTTGAAATGGGGTACACCCATAATTATAATTAGTTGAACTCAGTACAGACCAGAAGTTTGCTCTAAAAGGGTATAATCCTAACCCTGGAAATTTGGCTTCCTATTCTACTTGCAGAGCTTCTTGGAATGGAAATACATTCCAACATCAGTACACAGGGACTTAATGAATGGCCACTGAACAAATAAAGAAATATTGACGGAAAGAACAAATATAAATTTCATCCTAACATAATATATAAAAGTAAACCCTAAGAGAGTCAAGAGTTGTGTTTTAAAAGGTTAGGAGGGATATAAAATTGGAAGGAATAGGAAGTTCAATATATTAATTTTTTTAAATCTGCTCTATCTGCCAGAATATATTTGTGCCAGTATTTTAGGATAGTAAAACTCTACATAGGGGACACTTTCAGAGTGATACGGTTGACAAATCACTTATCCTAAAAAGCCACAAAACTATTCAAAATTGTCAAAACAATCATTTCAGATTATTTTGGGGGCAGGGGGGAATTGACCAGAGGTACACAATTGAAAAGCATTTATTAAAACAAACAAACAAACTAAAAAGAACTGAACCTCTGTAAGAAAAGTGGGAATCTGGGGCCCCTGTGTCTGTTTCCATTCCCTACCTGCTATCCCCCAGCCTACAACCAATAGTTGGGAGGGGGAGCAGATCAGAATCTGGAGTTGCTATAAATATTATCTAAAACAGAGGCTGCAAACTACATCCAATGGCCCAATTAGGGCCCATTGCCTGCCTTTTTTTTTTTTTCATAAAGTTTTACTGGTAGAATCTATACTCATTAATTTACATGTTATCGATGCTGGCTTTCACACCATAACAGCAGAGTTAAGCAGTTACAACAGAAACTGCACAGCAAAGTTTAAAATGTTTACTATCTGGTCCTGTATAGAAAGTTTTTTGGCACCTGATCTACAATGTTCAGCTTTCAACAGTGAATTATGAGATGGACGAATAAATAGGGAAGTGGGAGCTATACACAGAAAAAGGTGCAGTTAATAGAAACTAGGTCTGAGGGGACCCAAATGTTAGATTTAGCAAACAAAGACTTCAAGGCAGCTGTTATAAATATGTCCAAAGAAACAAACAAGTTTTTAAAACTATGACAATAACAACTCAATAGAGAATATCAATAAAAAGATTATAAAACAAAACAGAAATGCCAGAGTTGAAAAGTACAATAACTGAAATGAAAATTCACTAGAGGGGCTTGACAGCAAATTTGAAATTACAGAAAAAAAGCAGCAGTGATCTTAAAGACAGATCAATAGAGATTATTCAATTTAAAGTAAGGAACAAGAATGGAGAAAAATGAACATGCCTCAGAGACCTTGGGACACCACCAAGCAAACTAGTGTATGTGTAAGGGGAGTTCCAGAAGGGGAGGAGAGAAATGGGCAGAAAGAAATATTTAAAGAAAAAATGGCCAAAAGTTTTCCACATTTGAGGAAAAACAATCTTACACATCCAAGAAGTACAATGAATGAAGTACAATAAACACAAGAATACACAAAAAGCCTATTAGCACACGTAAATGAGTTCGCAAGGTCACAGGACATAATGTCAATATACAAAAATCAACTATATTTCCATATACTAGTACATAATGAAATTGAGAAAACAGTCCCACTCACAACAGCATAAGAAAACTAAGTACTTAATATGTGTGTTAAAAGAAGAGCAAGAGGTACAACAACTATACAACACTGCTGAGAGAAACTAAACTGATATAGATATTGTATGTCCATGAATTTAAAAACCCAACATTAGATTACAATTCTCTCCAAACTGATCTGTACATTCAGTGCAATCTTTATAAAAAATCCTAATAGTCATTATATATAAGTTGACAAGCTGAATTTAAATTTATGTAAATATAGATGACCTAGAATACAAAAACACTTTTGAGAATTAAAAACATAGTTGGTGGACTTAAACTTCCCAATTTCCAAACTTATTGGGCAGATGTAATAATCATAATGTAGTATAAGCATAGGATGAATACATAGGTCAAAGAACAGAATTAGAAGTTCAAAAATTTGCCCTTATATTTATAGTCAATTGATTTTTAGCAAAAGTGTCAAGGTCATTTAATAGGAAAAGATGGTCTTTTTGACAAATGGTACTGAGATAATTGGACATCTGCATGTAAAGAGATTAATTAAGACCCTTAACTCATAACACACACACAAATGAATGCAAAATGGCATAAACCTAAATGTATAACCTAATACATAAAATTTTTAGAAGCAAGCACAGGAAAAAATCTTCATGACCTTGGGTTAGGCAGATTCCCTAGATATGACACCAAAAGCACCATCCATTAAAAAAAATTAATAAATGTCTATCAAAATATAAGCTGTTTATGCTACAAAAGACACCATTAAGAAAATGAAAGACATGACACAGACTGAGAGAACATACTTACAGATCATATATCTGATAAAGAATTCTTGTTCAGAATAAGAACTCTCATAACTCAGTAATAAAAAACCCAACAAACCAACTTAAAAATCAGCAAAAGATTTGAATAGACATTTCTTGAAATAAAAAAAAAAAGGAATGGCTAATAACTACAAGAAAACATGCTCAACATAATTAGTCATTAAGGAAATGCAAATTAAAATCACAGTGAAATACTACTTTACACCCCATAGAATGACTGTAATCAAAAAGACAGTAACAAGCATTGGAAGGATGTGGAAAAAACTAGAACCTTCATTCACTGCTTGTGGAAATGCAAAATGGCACAGCCACTTTGGAGAACAGTTTGGCAGTTTAAAATGTTAAACATAAATTTACCATGTCACCCAGCAATTCTGCTCCCAAGTATCTCCCCAAGAGAAATGGATACCTGTAACCGTACAGTCTTGTATCCAATCTTTCACAGTGGCAGTATTCATAATAGCCTCAAAATGGAAACAATTAAAATAGCCATCAACTGGTGAATGGATAAACAAAATGTAGCATATCCATATAATAGCATATTAAAAAAGAATGAAGTACTGATACATGCTACAACACAAATGAGCCTCAAAAACACTATGCTAAGTGAAAGAAACCAGACAAAAATATCACATATTGTATGATTCACCTATATGCAGTGTCTATAAAAGGCAAATTTATAGAAACTGCAAGCAGAATAGTGGTTGCTCGGTCTAGGGGTGGGAGCTGAGACTGACTGCATATGGTGGGCACTAGAGGTCTTTTCCAAGTAATGAAAATTTCACCAAACTGGATCGTGATGATGTTTGCATAATTCCATAAATTTACAAAAACTATGGAATTGTACACTTAAAATGGGTGAACTTTATGATACGTAAATTATATATCAAAAAAGTAGTTTTTAAAAAAACTCTACATGGATTCCAACTACTTCTATCTTCCAAGATTACTATTCTTTTAGTCTCTAATACTTTTTAAAATGACAAAACTTTTTCTTAATCATTTCTGTTCTGCAACCAATTTTTTAACTTGCAGTCAATTTTTAACAGGTGTGAAAACTAATTCTCAGAGGTTTGATTCATTTTCTTTAATCTACATGATCAAGATGACAATTTTGATGAGTTTCTTTCATTCCCCAAAAACGCATGAGTTTTGTAATGAGTTGATGTAATCAGGCAAAATGAATGATCTAATGACTCAGACCGTAATACTGCTTTACAAAGCTGTAATGATTGTAAAGCTCCCTAAGTCTGCCAAAGAAATAAAAATACCACCTGTTAAATAAAATGATTTATACATTCTCTGGTATGTACAGTATAAATCATTGTCTCTGGCATCATACCCACTTCTGCATCCTCAGTTTTTAACCCTTTTTTTGTCCCCTTCCCAAAGAGAAAACGAATTTACATTGCTCCTCACTAGACTTGTTTTTTTCTCTTCAAAAAGTCCCAAATGCAGCACCAATCTCTTTACTTGGATCTCAGGAATAAGGAATTCCTCCAACTTATCTACTCCTCAAAACATAAACAAATAACTTTTTGCATTCTCTGTAATGAATTTACCCTCGTGAAGACAGAAATCATGGAAGAATTAGACCAACAGCTTCTTTCTCCATTGATGACCAGGTACATTCCTGATTATATGGCTTCCCTCCCTTTTGTTGTTCCATTTCCAAGTTTCACCGGCGGCTTTCGGAAAGACCTGGCACGGGCTGTGTTTGATCCATGAGGGCCCTGATGGTACGTCGTGTTTCATCATAATTCCCATTCAATCTTTAAAAAGAGAAACATGATTCTCTCAATCTTTGGTTTACAGCACAAACCTTTAAATTATTAAAAAATATATATGTATATATATTTATAAGAATAAAAATAAATGCAAAGATTTAACTTCATGTCAGTCATTAGGCCTCAGTTTCATTCCAAGCATCTTCCCCTTGTATTTCTAAATGTTAAATTCTGGGAAAATTAGTTACAACTGAATATTCATATGTTCATTAAAATGTATATAGGAAGATTTTTTTTAAGAAGCCAATTCTTATCTGGCCTAATAGAGATCTATTTAAAAGTTAAATCAGTAAATTCAGTAAATGTCTATTGAGTATCTCATTTAACAACCCTGGATATTTAAGGCAAATAAGGAATATTTTCCATCTTTAAGGAATTCATAAGCTGTTGGGAGAGAATGAACCATAACTACACATACTTTAAAACAGATTGGGATGTCGATCACAGTATTAAAAAAATAAATAAAATCCATGGGAACAGGTCACACCTGAGAATAGTGGACAATTTCAAGGAGTTGACTTAATGAAAAGAAAGTAATGGCTTCAGGTGGAATGGAACTGGGGTTGGGGAATAGTAATAGAATCCTCGGGAAGAGAGCCAAGTGAAATGAGGTGTGACTGTAGTATCAGATGAGTGAGGATATATTGGGGGAAAAGGGAGAATTCTGATTAAGATAATGACCAGCTGATGTTTATTGAGCATTTATTATGTGCCAAGTACTATTTAAAACATTTTACATATATTATTTGAACGACCCTCATAAAAACCCTATGAAGAATGTACTATTATATTCCCATTTCATATATGACAAAACTGAGTTACAGAATGGTTAAGTGATCTGCTCATGGTTATACAGGCACAACTAAAAGTTATAGAGCCAGTATCTTGAAATTCATAAAAGAACAATGTCTGTCTCACCCCAACCACATTCATTGTAAGAGCAGTTAACAGGTATTTTAACCACCCTATCTCATTAATTCCTAAGCATCCTTCAAGGTTTAGCTGACATGCTTTCTTCTCTACAAAGCTTTTCTTGATCCCCACAACTGAACAGTATCTCTCCTCTAGGTTTCAAAGGACTTTATCTGTATCAATCTTATGGCAAACAACATATCAAGAAAATTTAATATTTTGTTCCTAGCATCACAGATTTTTTAGATAAGGTATTACAAATTTTATGTCTTTACCTAAAAAAAGATCCCCTCTATTTTATTCTCCTCTAGTCTGATACACTTTCTACTCTCCACAACTCCTAGGACAGTGCCTGGCACATCATAATGCTAGCTAAATCTATGGAGCACTTATACTTTGCAAGGCATTGTGCTAAGCATTTTACAGGAATTTTCACAAAATTCTTATAGCAACTCAGTTCACACTCAAGGGCTATTTTTAGCCCCTTCTGTGACAGGTAAAATAGTAGATGCACCTTAAACACATAAGTAAAACATATGGTTCCTGCCCTCAAGAAGTTCAGTCTAGGGAGGTTGGTACTACTGGTATCCTTGAGTATAGAAGAGAGGGAAGGTGAGGCTCAATAAAGTTCAGTAATTTGTCCAGAATCACACAGCAAAAAAATGGCACAGCCTTAATTCAAACTCAGTTCTCCAGCTGGGTATTCGAGAACGTGTACCTGATCACTATATTACAAGAGAGGCACCTGAAAAACACTTAGTGAAGAAAACGTTTTAGACTCCTACAATGAAAAATGTCCCAAGGATAATGAAGACTCGCTTAACTTCTGTCTGTGAGAGGAACGCAGGAAATGAGCAAAGGTGCAGATGGAAGTTTCAGGAGTATGCTAATACACACCTGGTAGCTCATAACTGCTCATCAAGCCATCGCTTTATGTCCCTTAAAGTGGTCCCACCTGAGCATCCATGCTTTGTTGCGCGCAGGGTGGTATAGTGGAGTTGAAGACTAGCAATGCGACCTTGGGCAATACCTCCTGTCAAAGAAGCCAGTGGAGTAGCGTGGAAGATAATGATGCACAATTCCTGTTTTACACGTAGTCCAGCTGCTCTTGGAAGGTGGGTTCAACCCTCCCAGAAAAGAAGCCTCCAAAAATGTGTGAATCCCTACTACCCACTGGAAGCGTGAAGCAGCTGCCATCAGGGTATTACGAGGCCCTACATATTAACTAAGGCGCTCTTCTGGCTCTGTGGCTTCTGGCTGAGAGCCACACGTCCAACTGACCACAGTCTCTAGCCAAACTCCCTTCTCCAAACACCACCTTAGCAGCCGCACAGTTTAGCCTATCATCTCCACAAACAAAAGAGGTTTGAGTAGTAACAATACAAAATATAAGCCAGGCGTAAAGCGGCGACTGAACGCATGAGTTTTGTCCCCCCACAATGCCCTAGCCAAGCAGGAAACCACCTGACTTTACATTTACACCAGATTCATCAGGTTAAGCCGCGGATATGACCGCTAGGGGCCTGGCTAGACCCCGTGGTTCCTCCGACAGCGCGGAGCAGCGACCTTCCGGCACCCGGAGGGAGGCTCCGCGCTCCGCAAGCCCCCAGGCCCCGCCCCACCCCTGGGCTCCGGAGATTAGCCGCAGAGGCCGCAGACCGGACGCCGGAGGCGTGTCGGCTGCCGGCCGCACGCTCCGCCTCCCGGCCCTTCCGGCAGCTCCCTGCGTGCCCCGCCCGCCCCGCCAATGGCCCGTTGCGCCGGCGCCAGGCTCTCCAGGCTCCGCCCCCTGCTCCGACCGAGCGCTGAGCGCATGGTTCTAGAGAAGCGGGCTAGGTGAGAGCCCCCGACCAAGGGGTGGGGAGACGGAAATGGAAGTGGTCTTCTCGCCCAGGCTCGCCCTTAACTTGGCGCCAGCTGAAAATAGCGTTGGGGGCGGAGCCCAAGACGGTGGTCGCGTGGGCGGTGGAGGTCCAGGCTCCGACCCGGAGCTGCAGCAGGGTGGTGGCGGCCCGCTGACCCACTCTTGTTTATGTGTCTGTGCCCGCACAGGGAGGCATGGAGAACTGTTTGGCGGCCGCGGCGCTGAACGGGGTGGACCGGCGTTCCCTGCAGCGCTCGGCTAGGCTAGGTCAAGAAGTGTTGGAGCGGGCCAAGAGGAGGGCGGTGGACTGGCATTCGCTGGAGTTTCCCAAAGGTCGCGTGAGGGTCCTTTCCCGGAGGCGGCTCTACCAAGAAACACGGCAGGCAGCCGGCCCCCAGCAGCTTCTCCCAGGAGAGGTAAGACCACCGCGCTGGGGAACCAGCCCACTCATTCGTTCAGCGATGGCCTGAGCGCGCCACACAGAAGCACCTGAGAGATCCGGTCCTTGGCGAAAGCTGTGAAGTATCAGGACAGTGAACGGAAAAGCCCTTTGAACACTTTTGACATTTGACAGATTCTTACTAGGTAGAATTAGGCTACCGCCAGTCCTTAACCCTAGTTGGTTACTTTTTAAAAAAATTCTTAACATGCTGTCATCTGGTGGTAGAGGAAAGCCAGCAGCAGACCTTTGTTCTGCATAAATTTCGTGTCTGTATTCTTTTTAGATGTGGAATTCTTTCTCAGTAAGATTCTTCTTACTGACTTAAATTTAGAGGCCTTTCAAAAGTAAAAAACAAGCTATTCCCAAAATGCCTTCATTCGACAGCTGGGAGTACCAGATGTCACCTGTGGCTTGCCCTTTATTCAAAGAGAGAAGAAAGACACCCAACCCTCAATGCTTCCTTCAGAACAATGGCTGAATTCATGGACTATACTTCAAGTCAGTGTGGGGTAAGTTGGTGTAAGCCAAAGCCATGCCTCGTGCCACCTGCTGATGGATCACAAAGTGGGTTTTTGTGGAATTTAGGGAGAATCTGGAGATTACTTGTGGGCAGATTGTATCAGTCAAGGATTTAAACCAGGTGATAAATCCAAGTTAGAATTCTTGCAACGAATTTATTGAATGCCTCACTCTAGGTGTTACTGAGGACACAGCAGTAAACAAGCCAACAGAAGTCTCTGCCCTCACTATTGTTTTCAGACTAGTGGAGGGGAAGAAAAACTTATTTGCTATATAATTCCAAGATAATCAAGTCCAACTACTAGGTATGTTTTTTTTTAAACTTTGAACCAAAATTTTTTTAAAAGTCAGTAGGGTCACTGTAAACTGGAACGGAGCCACTCTGGTTTTCAAAATGTATTGAAACAAAATTTCTACAATAGACCTTAACCTCTGTTTCAAGTCCCTGGTTAATGTAGTTTTTAAGTTTGTCCCAATGAACCCATATCACCTGTTGGCCACAAAGGTGTTATATGAAACATGCAGTGCCCTCATCTGAGGTGATGTGGCTTAATGGCAGGAGCATTCTCCCGGGAATCAGACCCATGTTCTGCCACTTACCAGCTGAAATGCCTTAGGCCATTAGTCACTTGCAGCCTTACCTTCGGCATTGTAATATGAAAGACTCTAAAGTCTTTTCCAGACTTTACAGTCTGTTGGTTTCCACTGAGAGATGAACACCAGAAAATTGTCATAGCATGAGGTATTTATGTGAGATTCATTGAAATGGGTGAACAAAGGTTTTAAAGACCCTCTTCTCAAAACCATACACTAACGTCATCTTTAAGTATTTTGAAGGCAGGCCAGCCAGCATTTAAGGAAACCACCTACATCGAAGGTACTCTGTATCTTCCAGGAATTCAAACAGACTCATGGTCACTTCCAGCCTTAACATTTTGTGATTCTAATGTGATTGTAAAGGTGTTGGTCTATAAGGGAGAAGAAAGAGAGTATCTTTTTGCCCTGCTTTCAAGTTCATATATTAAGATTCGAAAAAATCTCTAATCTTTCTACATCTTTTATAAAATCCCTATGAGTACAAGAATAGAATTAATGACCAATGAGATATGATTCAGAATATTTTTATGTTCTTATTCTGTTAAATGGCCTTAAGGAAATTCATAACTTTGGCTGTACTGTGAAGTGATCAACTTAAACACTTCGGTTCATGGTTCAATAAAAAATATCTTTGGTTTGAGGTTTAGCTAATTGGTGCTCTTCATTTTGGGCTTCATTTCAAGCATACATTATGGAATGGGGCCTCAGAACCTCTGGCTTTCCAGAGCTAGAATTAAGAACAATGTTCTGAATTTGCTTTCACAATTTTCAAGCAGGCCCTAAAATACTTCAGTAAATCCATGTCCTTAAGTGCTTTCTCTGGCTTCTCTTTCTGTCTGTCTCATGCCTTAACCACTGTGCCTATATCTATGTTCAAAACAAGAAGGCTTGTGATGTTTTCATCATTAGTCTTTATCAAGGGTAAGTCCAAGGTTAACTCAGAGGGAGAGGAAGGAAGTAAACCCCCCAAAAATGTAACTGCTTTCTGATCCTTTGGATTGTTCTCCTTAAATTGGAGACTTCTCTCACCACCTCTGCATGAGAACAGCTGCATAGCTGTTGGGTTTCTGTTACATTTCCTGTTGTATTTCCAAATCTCAAGGAAATGTGCCCCTCTCTTCCGTGTCTTTGTCAGAGACAGACAATGAACATGGAACTGTTCTTCCGGACTGTCATGAAAGGAGATGAAAGGGAACCTGAGTTTGACGTTGGGGCAACTGTGTGAAAATTTAACTGGCAGAGCTGGCCTACAGAGTTCTTGTCTTACAGAGGCAGCAGATGGCAGCACAGTACTGTCAAATGCAGTGTCCTCTGTGGGCGCTTTGCAGGGGCTGAGATTAGGATACTCTTCAGGGCCTGTCAAGAGGGAAGGTGATTTACCTTTGTTCTCTTGCCTCCCTCCTTAACCATGCCTGGTCAAAGTAACGGAGTTTTTTGAAAATTTGACAGACCGTTTGATTATCCAACCTCTTTCGCTTTACTTCTCTAGAAATACTATTCATCTGTGCCAGAAGAAGGAGGGGCAACCCATGTCTATCGTTATCACAGAGGAAAGTCGGAGCTGCACCTGTGCTCAGACAGAGAGAATGGCCAGGTAAGTATCTTCAGCTGTCCTGTGCTGTGCCCTCAGCCTCTCAAGAGGGAGCCCCTGCTGGATTTGTGTCATTGGATGCCTATGTGGCTCGGCATCGCACAGAGCTGAACAGGAATGTATCAACTCACAGGGTTGGAGGACTTGTGAATGTGAATAGGAGTTTATCCAAAATATAAGGTTCATGTCACTACAGGATATTTGATTGAACCTGGAGTTCTGGGCTGTGGAATTCTTGGACAGGCTTAAAAGAGCTTCCAGTATCCTCTTCTACATCAAAGGATAGGAAAGAGATTTTTAATAATCACATATTTACTCTAAGGTAGTAATAACTATCATGTCTTTGGTAATTTTTTAAAAAGACATGCAAGGAGCCAGACTCTCTTAACAAAATACTTTCCTAAAGATAATAACAGTTACAGGTCTATTACTACAAACCCTTTTACCACATGTCATCCTGGGGAAGCCAGAGATTCTACTGGTTGAACAGGAGTCCTTTGGTGGTGGTGATGGTAGTGTTTTTAAGGAGAGTAGGTTTTTTGTTTTTCTTTTTGAGCTCCCTTAGTTGACTCAGAGATAGCAAACTTAAGGCCAGAGTCTAATCCACAAGGTTGACTCACAACTACGCTGGTCTGTGGGTTTGGGAAAGGATGAGAAAATGGTCACAGGAATAAGAGTGAGGGTTGGATACATGCAGGAAGTCCCTCCTGTTTCCCTGGCCTGGGATATGAGGAGCAACACCAGAGCCCAAATCCTGGGTTCCCTTTTCTGGCCTGGCCTAGGGCTCTCTTAAGTGTGCCTGACCCTAAGGTTACGTGTGGGCAAGAGTCATGTCTGTACCTCCCGTTCCTTCCTATAAAATGTAAGTTGGTGCCCCTAAGAGAAATCGACTTCAGCAGTTTTACCTCTTCCTCTGGGAGAAACACTCCTTAGGAGAAACATAGACTTCTATTTTCTGACAGCCTGTTAAGTGTCAGCCACTTTTGTACTTTAAATCCCCCCTACAATCTAGTATCTCCATGTATCTGTGACTAGGACACCAAGGCTTAGATAATTAATCTGTTCCTCTCCGTAAACAGCAGAGATGGGATTCAAACTCAGGCCTGTTTGACTCCACAGCCCATGTGAGGATGAAAAGTAATCATGGTACACATCTGACTAAAAATACCTAACAGTTCTCTAAAAGCCTCAGTAACTTAGGTGGCAACTTAGAAAAACTGACAGAACAATTATTAGCTCCAAATAAACTAGGAGAAAATTTCTCTTTACAATCTCTTTACAATCCAAAACTTGGGTATTAATCAATATTTCTACTTGTCTCCCCAGAAAAAAGACACATTTCTTGGTCTTGGAGGCATCTGTCAAGTGTCAGAGTGTACTCTGGAGGCATCCCAGCCTGTGAGTACAGACTTCCAGTGTACTGGGCTTCACTACCATTACAATTCCATGAACCAGGTGCCCTGGTTACTATAGGGTTCTTTGCAATAAATATGTAGTATTTTTAAGTTAGGATGTTTTTACCCTTGGGGAGAGTACACAACATTTTGGTTCAGTTTCTGGGTATCCTTCCTTCACTTGAAGCTTCAGGGATACTCTGTGCCTGAACCCATAGTTGTGGTTGGAAAGAATGCAAAATATTCACATCTCAGTGCCTCCAGCTCAGCTAGGCTGGTGCTGGGTCCTGCTGGAATTCCACCCTCGATTCAAGCAGCAGGAGGGGCCTGACCCTCCTGCTTACTAAGTGAAAACCATTGCTGAAATTCTAAAACGTAAATTTGGTTAGATCAGGTTCCAAAACATTCAAATGGATTTGTTCCCATTTTCCACCAATGTTTCTCTATAAAAACATGCAGCAGTGTCTTTCATTTTTAGGATATCATTAGTTCATGAACCCAGGGAAAAGTGGGGCTTGAAAGGGCTAGAATTCTGAGGAAAGGAACTCTAGCATATTGCTGCAATAGTTTGCTTTAATTTTTGTGTGTATACAATGTGCTACTAGCCAGGACTCAGAATGTACTAGAGGTAGTAGCAACTAAAAATATTCTGCTTCTGGTACAAATGTAAGTTCTTAGGCTTCATGCCTCTAACACTTGCTGGATTTGGGTGGTGCTAATCTTCCTGATACTCAAATGTTAGAACCACAGATGCCAGTCTTATCCCTAGTGTTTCCTTTTATGGATACAAATGAAGCATCCTCAGCTTTCTGCAATTCTGATATAGCTGTATTTTCTGAAGCCTCCTTTTGTCTATTTATGTAGTTGATGGCCAATAGTGGTGGCATTGTTATATACATTCACATCAGTTAAATGATAATAGAGTTCCAATTTTGCAATAACTGAGCATGAAAGGATATAACATAAAGCAGATTTAGTACATATACACAATGGAATATCATACAGCCATAAAAAGAAATGAAATCCTCCCATTTGCAACAACACAGATGATCCAGAGGGTATTATGCTTAATGAAATAAGACAAATACCAATGATTACACTCATTTGTGGAATATAAAAACAAAGCAAAACGGAACAAAATAGCAGTAGACTCATAGACACTGAGAAGGGACTGGTGGTTACCAATGGGGAAGGGTTGGGAAAGGTGGGGGAGGAGGGGAAAGGGGTTTAAGGGGCACAATAATTTGCAATCACAATATAAGTTGGTCACAGGGATGGTAGTACAGCACGGAGAATATAGTTAGTGGTTCTGTAGCACCTTACTATGTTGATAGATAGTGACCACACTAGAGAAGGTGAGGATTTAATAATACAGGCAACTGTTGAACCACTGTGTTGTATATTTGAAACCAACATAAGATTGTATATCAATGATACTTTAATTTAAAAAAAAAAGATTTGGAAAAAATTGGTTCAAACCCATCTGCAAGGTGGAAGGGGAGGAAGTTTCATAAAAGTAAATATCACTTATTCCTCCTAGTAGAGTTTGCTGACCAGCAGTTTGGTTGCTCCCCGGGTGTGGTGGCAAAATGACAGCCTCTGCCCGTGGTTCCTCTGAGCATTGACTGAACCTCTAGTGCTGTCCCAGCTGTGGTATAGGAGCTGTGGCTCTTAATTACAGGCTCTTTTCTGATTTGTGACTTTGCTCTTTTGCCCTTTGAACTGAGACCCTGCCTGCCCACCTATGCATGAAGTCTGTCCTTGGCAGATGGTTTGTGCTCAGCTCAGTGATAAACATAAGTCTCATTAACTCCAGCTTCCAGGGTTTTGCACCATAGAAGAATCAGTCCTCCAAGGGCCGGCTTTTGCCTACCAGCTGACTTGCATGACAAAATGGAATCTACTCACAGAATCTCCTAAATCTCAGCTTTAGGAGAAAAGAAATACTTCCTCTTCCTAATAATGACTTTAGCAATTCACAGTTAAAAAGAATGATTCTCATTATTCCACAGTGCCTTGCCATTACTGCTAATATATGCTAACAAATGTCACTGTCTACTTTTGGTAGCCAAAACAATGGCCATTTGCCTTTCTTGCTCCCTAGTTCTTATCTTTCTGCCCCGACTAGAGTGTTCCTTATATGGTCCTTCATGTTCCTGTAACACTTTAGCACTTACAAAGTATTTTCGCATATGTGCTTATTTGTGAGGTAGGTGCTACCAGTTTTAGAAATAAGGAAACAAGCATAAGGAGAGGGGGAGACTTACCTGAATGACAGTCCTTTAATCTGGCCAAGCTGAGCCTTGAAAGCAGGACTTCCATTGCTAATGTTGGTGCTTCATTCAGGCACACCTCTGGCACACGGAGGTAGCCTGGTGGAGGTGCTCTGAACGGCATTGGGATATAAAACCTCTAAACTGCTAATATTCACTTTTCCTTCCAGGCTCAGAACATCTCCAAGGACCTCTACATAGAAGTATACCCTGGGACCTATTCTATCACTGTGGGCACCAATGACTTAACCAAGAAGACTCATGTGGTAGCAGTTGATTCAGGACAGAGTGTGGACTTGGTCTTCCCCGTGTGATATTGACCATCACAGCCATCATAGCACCTTTTTTTAATAGCAAGAAGAATAACGCCACCATGTGATTCTCTTAATATTTACACTGAATCCTGCTTTTAGCACTGACTGTAGAAGGTCGGCCTTCCTGGGAGCTGGAGTTTCTCTCTTTTAGTGCCTATTTTAACTTGAAACTCTGGAAGTCCCCTACCCTTTTTAGCCTAAAAATAATAATGTAATGATGTTGTCTGAAGAGTTTTTACTACTTCCTTTTCAAGTGAAGGTCAATTATGGTAATAAAGGGAGAGATTTGGAAATGAAGAGAATTCCTTTTAATTGGTATTAAGAGGTGAAACAAAACGTCACTCATGTACAGCTATGCAGATATGAAAAGATGGCAGAGAGGCTGTGGACACATTTGCTCAAAGCAGGCAGACGCACCCTGTAGCTTCTGCAGAAGAGACCTCTTCAAGTAGCTCTCAGCAGGGCCGCCATGCTCCTGGGCCCCTGGGACGGGTGCCTTCCTGCTGCTCATCTTCAGGACAGTCTGAACAGGGTGAAGACCCTGCTGCTTATTCCACTGTTCTCAGTGGCCTGCACTCCACGTATTTCCACGGAAGAAGGCCTGACAGCCACTTCGTGACTCCTCGTCAGGTGTTCACCACCATGACTCTAGCTTCCTGTAAGAGGAGAAAATCCTGAGAGTCTTATGCTGACTGTTTAATTTTAAAGGATCAAAAGGCACTGATTTTAAAAAGTATTTAGCACTTACAAAGTATTTTCGCATATGTGCTTATTTGTGAGGTAGGTGCTACCAGTTTTAGAAATAAGGAAACAAGCATAAGGAGAGGGGGAGACTTACCTGAATGACAGTCCTTTAATCTGGCCAAGCTGAGCCTTGAAAGCAGGACTTCCATCGCTAATGTTGGTGCTTCATTCAGGCACACCTCTGGCACACGGAGGTAGCCTGGTGGAGGTGCTCTGAACGGCATTGGGATATAAAACCTCTAAACTGCTAATATTCACTTTTCCTTCCAGGCTCAGAACATCTCCAAGGACCTCTACATAGAAGTATACCCTGGGACCTATTCTATCACTGTGGGCACCAATGACTTAACCAAGAAGACTCATGTGGTAGCAGTTGATTCAGGACAGAGTGTGGACTTGGTCTTCCCCGTGTGATATTGACCATCACAGCCATCATAGCACCTTTTTTTAATAGCAAGAAGAATAACGCCACCATGTGATTCTCTTAATATTTACACTGAATCCTGCTTTTAGCACTGACTGTAGAAGGTCGGCCTTCCTGGGAGCTGGAGTTTCTCTCTTTTAGTGCCTATTTTAACTTGAAACTCTGGAAGTCCCCTACCCTTTTTAGCCTAAAAATAATAATGTAATGATGTTGTCTGAAGAGTTTTTACTACTTCCTTTTCAAGTGAAGGTCAATTATGGTAATAAAGGGAGAGATTTGGAAATGAAGAGAATTCCTTTTAATTGGTATTAAGAGGTGAAACAAAACGTCACTCATGTACAGCTATGCAGATATGAAAAGATGGCAGAGAGGCTGTGGACACATTTGCTCAAAGCAGGCAGACGCACCCTGTAGCTTCTGCAGAAGAGACCTCTTCAAGTAGCTCTCAGCAGGGCCGCCATGCTCCTGGGCCCCTGGGACGGGTGCCTTCCTGCTGCTCATCTTCAGGACAGTCTGAACAGGGTGAAGACCCTGCTGCTTATTCCACTGTTCTCAGTGGCCTGCACTCCACGTATTTCCACGGAAGAAGGCCTGACAGCCACTTCGTGACTCCTCGTCAGGTGTTCACCACCATGACTCTAGCTTCCTGTAAGAGGAGAAAATCCTGAGAGTCTTATGCTGACTGTTTAATTTTAAAGGATCAAAAGGCACTGATTTTAAAAAGTCTGATGTGTCCTAAACTTCTTTCAGCTGCTACACCAATTGTATTGTTGCCTCTCTCAGTCTAGCTGCCTGGTGATTCATTTCACTTTGCACTTAGCAAGTCTTTCCTCTGGATAAATGCCAGTATTTCATATGATGAAAACCAAGTATATTCCTAGTGAGGAACAGATCCCAGAGAGGGGCCTAATATAAGGTAGAGTCACTTAAATGGGGATCCTCGCACCCTAAGAAACGTGACAAACTCTGGGTTCTACAAGCTGTTTGAAGTTGTATGCAAAGGGGTATGTGCTTTTTTCTGGGAGAAGGGGCCATGGTTTTATTCTGCTTTACCCGGGTCCACAGGGCTCTTAGTCTCAGGAGAATCCTGGCCCCTCTGATGTGCTGCAGCGCTTGGCTTCCCCTGGCAGGATCTGTAGGGCCTTTGCCGCGGTTGCTGCCACAACCAGCTTCTCAGTGTTTCCCACTAATACCATTTGTGCTCTTTGTTGTTGGTTGCCCTTCTCTTCTTTCTGGATTTTAAAACATCTTGTTCCTAAAACCCAAAATTAGGTATGTTGAACATGCTATCATTTTGCTGGGATTAGTCTTGATGATTTCAATAGAACTCTATGTAGGATCACAATCCCTCAGCTATCTCTAAGCTCCTAACACTGTTCTCTATTTTTAAAGGAAATAAAGTTTGTCAGTCATTTCTGGCCATTGTGCTTTGGGGAAAGTTTATATCTGATAACTTCTCCACCCATTTCAAATATGGTTATCAGACATGTTCTTCCAAACAGTAGGAGAGGCAAAAGTAACCTACGACCACCAGTGAAGGAGCTTATAAATCACACTGATCACAGAGATGAGATGGTAAAGCCGCTAGAAAAACAGGTGTAAGAGGTTGAATGAGGCAAAACAAAAATAATGGGAGATGTGACTTCCTGAAAAATGGGACAATAATCTGAAAAGGTAAAAAGGAAGGAATAGTTTAAAAGAAATCCATCCCCTCCCTGACTTTTAAAATACAGACTGAATCCTGTTTCTGTCATAAGCACGGTGGGGGAGCAACATGACTGCTGGCAGCTGACAACCCAGAATCCCCGGGATTGTCTGGTTAGGATCCAACGGTACCCTCACCGCCTCTGAAAGTACCAGCAAGTGTGACGGGCAGAGGGACCCATACAGAAAGATGCTGAAGAGGCAGAGCCTAAAACTCTTGTCAGCATCTGCTTTCTGACCATCAAGCACAGTTAAAAGACACATTTCCTTAGGATACACAATCTGGAGGGGAGAAAAGGAAATAAGACCGGTATTCGCCTTATTTCCAGCCCTGGTGGGTTTTATGCACTTCATCTTCACTAGTTAGCTCACTACCCATCTGTGACAAGGGGAGGGGAGGGCCTCTTTCTCACACCGCAACTCAGACATGTTCTCTATAGCTTTGGGCACATGGTTGGGACCTGGCAGAGGGCAGTTCCACTGATTGTTATGGTTCAGCTCCAAGAACTAACCTCTGCCTAGAGCATAACAAATGAGCTAAAGGGAAGCCAGGCCAAATACCTGAAGATCTCTTCTTTATAGGTAATTATTACAATTTATTTTGGGAGAGAAAAAAAACCTCAGGGTGAATTTCTTTCAATACAGTATTGGGGAGAGAGACCGAATGTAGGTATAGGTGGTTGGGCAATGGAGATAAGAGCAGTGTATGCTTAGGGCCAGGAGAAGTTTGTTTGGACTTTCAGTTTTAGAACCAGTCTAGATGGAATGCTATGGAGCAAGCCACAGTGGGGAGAATGCAGACCTGGTCCCTGGAGCATGTCCCACCACGGCCCCTCTGGTAACCCCTGGGTGTTCCTCTCCCTGAGGGTGGGCCTGCTGCCACCTCAGTGGCTCCCCACAGACTCCTTTCTTGGACAAATAGAGCTTTTCTTTCTCGAGTCTATGCTGAAGCAGGAGGCAGTGTAAGATACAGAGAATTTAGCATGAAAACTCTAGATTTGGACACCATTTTCTTTATATAATCACTTGTTGGGAGGTTATAGCCAGTAGAAACAGCTGTTCCCAAGTAGGTTCTGCCAGCGCCTCCCACTGTGAGATCTGAGTGACCCATTTCACAGAAGCCCAGGAATCTCCTCCCCCCCAACTTTATATTTACAATACAAAGTTTTCTTCAGAGAGGAAGAGCTCAGTTTGTCATAGCTGGGTTCTTGTCCCTCTAGTTCATTCCCTCCCTGGCACAGGAGGGTGGAAGAAAGTAAAGGCAGGCCTAGAACCCTTTTTTAATATACAGCAGCAGCGACATCTATATCCCCAGCCATTCCACAAAGTCCAGCGGTCCAGAGGAGTCACCCAAGAAAGTTTCTCATAGAAACAGTTTCTCCATGTTCTGGAACTGAAGACTAATAAAATCCTTACCCCTGGGGCAAGACTGAAATCCTTGTGGGCTGAGAGGCCCTTCTGGCTGAGCAATTGTCCTGAAAATAGGACAACGGCTTCAAATGGACCCACCACAGGTCCAGAGTGGCATGCTCACAGATCAGCAAGCCCTGAGCAGGGCATTCTTTAACCTTCACAGCCTCCCTGCCCAGACGGAATGTTCATCTAGTTCACTGAACGTTAAACTTGTAACCCCAGGCTCCCAGGAATCTAGTCTAGGGCTGGGCTTATCCAAGCCACCACATTCACATAGTTCGGCCAGCTGATGTCAGTTTCTGCTCTTTCCAAAGCCCTGTTGGGAATTTAAATAGAATGAGCATGAGGCATGGGCGTGATATACTGCTCCTAGACCTACAATGCCATGTCACACAGTTTGTACCTCAAGGTGAGGCTTGGCGGTTGCAGATTGCCAACTGCGATAACACTGCCTCCCCTCTTAGTTGTAAAGAATGAGCAGCATAATGCATTGCCCTGATTCTGGAGAGTAGACCCTGAAAGACCAAAGTTTAAAGACAACTTTCTGTGTTGCTCAGGGCATTGAGGGCTAATAAACACCTGAGAGCATTTTCACTATTAATCTAGAGAAAAATCAAGGCCTCCAAGTAAAAAAGGTAGGGGAGTGGGAGAGGGGGACAGGCAAAAATGGACAATGACAGTGCCCTATCAGACACTAGTGAAGAAAGAAAAGACAAGTCAACTAGGGATGCAAATGTTAGCACAAGGATCACCCTGTCTTTTCTTGGGCTTTATTGCTTAAACGGAAACCTTTGTCATTTCCTTCTTCTCACAGCCTCCTCTTCAACTTGACCACACTCCAAAGTGTTACTTCCAGTCCCAGCACAGTGGACAGTGCATCAGATTCCTAAATGACACACAGGAGGGCAGGAAACAGAGGCCTCAGGCCTCCTTAGAAGGCATACCTGGCTTCCCAGGACATGGCTCATACCCGTTTCTCCTCCAATACCTCCACTCGGGCTGGCAGAGGCCACCCTGCCTCCTTGGAGACTTCTCGAAAAGGACAGGGTCTGTGTTGGCCGTGCTGTCCGCCATCAGCCTCTGGGGGAGACTCATCTCTGGATCATTCTCCAAATCCTCTTCCAAGGAGGCAGAGGAGGAGGCAGAGGAGGAGGAGGAAACAGCCACGGGAGTTTGCACTGGTGCTTCCTCCTCTTCAGGGCCTTCTAGGGGCATAAGCTGCGCTGTGGGCTTCTGCTCCACCTCTGGGTGTTCCCTAGTCAGGAGCCCTGAGGTCCTGGTTAGAGGCCACCAGGTGGGTCCAGCCAGGGGGGAGCCGCAGAGGCAGTCCCAGCACAGCGGCTGGCAGCAGGTAAGGGAGTGGCATGGAGGGCATAGGAACGGAGTGCCCAGAGGAAGCCCAGTGGGTGGCCCCAGCAGACAGCAGCGGGGCGCCCACAGGAGGGGAGTAGGGTGGTCCCTGGCAAAAGGCTTGTGCAGCTTCTCCACAGCCTTCTTCCAGACTGTTGGGGACACCCACCTGACCCCACCTGGAGGCACTGTAGCTGTCCTGCCATTCCAGAAGTGAACAGTAATTTCTTTTGATTCTACGTAACAGAAAAAGGCAGCATTGTGTTACGATTACCACTTCTTTCTCATGATATAAGGGTTCACCTAACCCCAGAAGGAAAGCCTCCCAGTGTGGCCCTCTACTCTGCCTCCCTCCTCTTGCACACTTCTCCCTGGAGGGCCTACCTGCCAGGAACATTCCCTCACCTGCTCCCCATTCACCACCACTTCCCAGTACATTTGTGCATGCCTCCCTGTCTCCATTTTCACGTCAGATTCAAAAGCCTTTGTCAGAGAATCTGTTAGAGAAGAGAAGGAGAAGCCTCCTTTTGTCTCTCTCTAAATTACACGGTGCTGACTGGTTGGCCCTGCAGAAGGGGACAGCCCCAGTCCCTGGACAACTTGGTGGGGGATGGGTCATAAGTATGGAGTGACACCAGGATAACCACAACATAGGTCAGCCAACTAACCACAGACAGTAGTTTTAGGCTATTTGCCCTGATAAAAAATATTTTATAATCTGAAAGATATGATTTGTCTGTCTGTTGCCACCCCCCGGATTAAACTGCAAGTGAGGGGGCCAGGACTGTTTTTAATGCCTCTAAGACCTCTAAGCTGTGCAGACACTGCTCTCTCATCTAGCCTGACCACCAGCCTGGCCCCTGGGGACTGGGAGGTCAGAGCAGCTTCTCTTACCTCTCTGGGGGTCTCTCGCCTCCAAGCCCAAGAGAACAGTGCCTGGGCCATACCGCTGTCGGCCTGGCCCCCACAGTGCTAGCACCTTGTCCCCAGGTCGCAGGGAGGATGATGGGAACTGAATGACATCTTCTTCTAAGACCACGCTCTGCCGCTGGGCTGGCAACTTTGGGTCTGTGACTAGGGGAGTCTCAAATTCCACAAGCAGAGCCCCCTGCCTCTCCAGCTGTGGGAAGGAAAACGCTCAGCGTAAGAGTTGCATCAGGAAGTACAACAGGAGCCCATGGGTCCCTGAGGTCCCTGGAACCAGGTCTAGGGACTTCCTTACAGTGAGGGACATCTAGAGAAGGGGCAGGGAAGAGCCACTTGGAGCCAGGATGGACTGTGGGACAGATGCTCTTCCTTCTACCCTTTCCTGATGAGGGCAACTTGTTTATCACTTTCAGCCTTTTCCTTCCTGTTCTCTCCCTTTTCCTGTTTTCCTCTGCTCCTAGCTGTATTTTTGGCCTGCAGTTCTCAGGAGAAACCTGGGTTCTCTGTGTCTTTCCCGAGTGCACTTCCCCTCCTCCCAGCACTTCTGCAAAGTGGTGCCCCTGTGTCCAAGACAACAGGGATGGCGTACGAGGAGCGAGGAGCGTACGAGGGAGGCCCACGAGGAGCGGCTGTGGCCGGTAGGGCTGCCCTCAGCACTGCCATTACTTCAGCAAGGAAAGGTTTGGCTCAGCAAACAAGCAGCATAAGAGGCGAGAGGAGAAGTACCTAAGCTAATTAAAAGTACGAGCTGTTTGGAGAACTCAGTATGACTGTGAGGAGAAATGAACTCTGGTTACAAATTACTTTCATCAAATCACTAGACAGAACCTATAGTTGAGCAAAATTCTGCTTAAATTTCATTTGAAGTCACATTAGTTACTTGAAAATGACAATGATTTTTGATCAGAAATTCTATAACTCATATTTTTTTGGAATTCATACTAGTCTTCCCTCCATGGATCCACATTCACAAAGTCTGACTCTGAAGGAAAAAAATCCCAAAGAAGCAAGCAGCCCCTGAAGTAAAGCCCAGGCCTGGCTCACAGCGTGGGGGGCACTGAGCTGCTGCGCTTTCAGGCCCCAGGCGTGCAGCTGAGCAAACATGTTTACTCCCCTTTCCCTCAGGCTGGTGCCTATAATTTGACACACTGAATTTTCCCAAAGTACTTTCACTGTACTTTTTCATCACTGTTATGAGTTCCATTGTGTCCCGCCCAAATTCATATGGAGTCCTAATCTCCATTACCTTAGAATGTGACCTTATTCGGGAATAGGGTCATTGCAGATTGATTAATTAGGATGCACACAGGGAGAATGCCCTGTCAAGACGAGGCAGAGATCAGGGCGATGCTTCCACAGCCAGGCAATACCAAAGACTGCCGGCAAACCACTAGAAGTTAGGAAAGGCATGTGGAAAGATTCTCCCTCATAGCCCGCAGGACAGCGGGCACTGCAAACTCCTGAACTGGCAGTCTCCACATCTGAGAGACAATAAATGTGTCAGGCCATTCAGTGTGGGCTGCCTTGTTACACAGCCCCAGCAAACTAATATATTTTCACTTACACAACCATGCCATGGAAGACCTGTGCTTATCCTGGAAACTGAACCGCTGGTACCCACACTGAAGCAGGTATGATAGGGCCACCCAAGGGGGCATGCCAGGGAGATGTGGAGATCCAGAAACTTGCCTCTGGAGCAGGCTTTATCTGAGCCCGGTAATAAAAGCCATCTGGTTCCCTTCTTGCCAGGACCCATGTGTCAGCAGCATCTCCAGTTGTTCCCAGCCAGCCAGGGCCCTGGCATGCCAGGTCACCAATGTGGAGAAACGGGTGGTAAGACACATATCTAGGAAAAAGCCAGTGGGATTAGGAAGTGGAAAAGACCAAGTCCTAAAAACAAACACATTTCACAGATCTGAGCAGCACCACTGTGTATGTATGACATATGAGGCTACGTAGGACAGAAATCCATGCAGGAAGTGGCAATCAATGACTTCCATTAAGACGAGATAAACTGTTGGAAGGGGCAGAAGGAGAATATGGTGAAGGCAACCACCCTCTGAGGATTGGGAATTGTTTCAAGGTAATCAAAATGTCATTGACCTTCATATATTCAAGTTAATTAACACTGGCTCTGATACTAGACAGCAGAACAGGAAAAAGTACCAGGAAGGTAAATCCTAAGGTGTGCTGCATTCCAGGATGAGGAGTGGCAGCGTAGACGGTAAGGCCAAAGGAGCAGAACTGTAAAGACTCTTGGCGCTGTGGGGTCAGAGGGGATGAGGAAGTGTTTGAGCGGGGGGTGGGGGGAGGCACAGAGTTAAGTAAGGGGCTGTGGGACAAGAAAAAGAAGCTAGTTCTGGGAAATTCTGTGGACAGGGCCATGCTGGGGGGAATTGTTGAGTCAGGGTTTGGGTTTTTCTGAAGAGGCTGTTTACTTTGTGGGCAAGCCTGGATACAGGGACGCTTAACTCTGGCTTTGACGGAGATGGTTCACCTGGGTGAATCAAGAAAGGGGGTTATTAAGGGTTTAAGCTGGCATGTCCCTAACTGGGGCCCACTGAATTGAGTAGCACAAACAGGAGCCCCTGGGACTTACACAGTTTGTATGTACTTAGCTGCTGAGGATCCTTTCCCCTCTTGTATTCATGCTTTAGACAGTGCTGAGGATACTGGTCAGGAAAAGCCAGGGTAACTGAGGGAATCCAAGGAGGGACGAGAGACCTCACCTCCACTGCTGGTTGCAGAAACCCTGATTTCTCACATGGTACCAGGGCAATTCTCAAAGTTGATGGTAAAACAAGCTAGAAACTTTATAACTGTAATGCCTGTCTCCCACATGTACCACTCTGACACCTGCCACTCTGCCCCACGGTGCTACAAGGATAGTTTAGAAGGGGTAATCTATTGCCCCCAGCAAACCACAGCCCACACAGTAAAAATCCCTTTCAGCCTTCCCAGGGAGCAAGTGCTCTGCCTTGTAGTACACGGTCTAGGGCCCAGGAAAATGGAAGGTGCACACCACTTCTGCTAGAGGGGCAGAGAGCAGTACCTGGTGGAAGGGTTGTGCCAGGTGAGCCAGGGCGCCTGGAGGGCAAGGTGACAGCCTGCACTGCAGGGCTGAGCGGCACAGGCCCAGGCACGCGCTTTCAGGGTTCTGGCCATGCTGCAGTATTTGGGCGAAGGCATCCCAGGCCCTGCAGAGGATTCCATGGCTTTCGGAGAAACCACCTGAGAACAAGTACCGCCATTACCGGAGTTGCAGCTCACAGCCCAGCAAAGGTTGCTGGCTGGGGAGGGCTCAGCTGTGGGGTTAGCAGCCTCGCTGGGGCCCAACCCGCTCCCACAGACTCTTGGGGTCTGAATCGCCTGCCTCGGAAACCTCGGCTCAAGAATAGGGGAGGGGCTGAAGAGCAAGAGCTGTGATTTCAGAGAAACACAGCTTCAAACCCTTCACAGGCTGCTGGCTGCGTGCTCACATTGCTGTGCTTCAGTTGCTGCTCAGGAGATTATATATGGAAAGCACCTGGCTTATAAGTAGCTCAATATATGTTCGTTTTTTCCTCCTTCCTCCTTGCCATTGTAGGGACTCCCAGGGATAAGACCATACTTCCCTTCACAAATCCTAACCCTGATGACAAACTGACCCCTAACTCAAGCTGTAGTTCCCCTCCTAGCCCATCCCCACACACAGCTGAGATCCCAGAGTCGTGGCCTCCACAGACCTGGTCAGAGGCAACAGCTGCCGCCCAGGGCCCAAGACTGCACCCTCCTGCCCCAGCCCACGAGAGCCCAGTAGGTCTGCCCCTGCCAAATTCACCGGTCTGACCCCAAGGGGACTTACCCACAGTCCCAAATTCTTCCACGTCAGCCTCGTCCCTTCTGATAGTGGGGCTCAGGGCCTCAGCCCAACTGACTCCTTGTTGCCAAGCAGGTTGCCGTAGATGCAAGCCAGCAGGAATAATGTGGGCCAAGTGTACTGAGCATGTGCAAGGGGGTGACAGGGAGCCTTGGTAGGTGGGTGGGGGGTGGGGCATGGAGAGGGGTCAGCAGAAGGTCATTCTTACCTTTCTCTTTGAAAAGGGGAAAAGGAGTATTAGAGAAAAGTCTTTGTAGCCTCAATTCCCAATAGCTCAGGCTTCCCCACTGCCAGAAGAGTCAGTCCTGGTGGGAGGCCCTCACAGATCCCTGGGAGCTGACCCCACAGAGACTCAGGGCAACTGATTCGTACCCACTCTGTGCAGACAGGAGGCTAGGGTTGGGGAGCCACTGGCCTGTCTAGAGACTCTAACATAGAATTTGTCCATGGTTTAAAACAAAATAACCAAAGGCGCAGGAATGTTTTTAACAGAACTCTGTTGAGGAACAGAGGTGTGGTGACCACTTGGGGTAACAGGACTGGACACTGGTGACCAAAGGCATGTCTTTGGTCCATGTCTCGATTCTGCTTTCATTTGAACATCCATGGGAAGAGGCTGGTAGTTTGTGTCCTGGTTGCATGCTGGGCATTATGGTCAGTGGAGAACACCAGAAAACTATGTAGGGACATTCATAGGTGACTCTCCCTCATCCAGTCCCTTCCTCCACCAGTTCCTGTTTCTCTCTATGGATCCATGCAGTTAGGAGGGACCAACTATACCCCCAGCTTCACAGGCGGGACACGAACCAGCACATTCCAGCCTCCTGGCTGCAGGGATTGGCTAGGGATGGGCATGTTCCTGAGCCTCTCGAATGAGAACACATCTCAAATGTTTGTTGGGAATCTTGGGTTATAGAGTTTCTCTTTCTTCCTATATATAAGTAAGAAAGTATGTCATTCTGGAAGCCTTTTGGGGACACTGAAACTATTCCCAGAGAAAGTCAGAAAGGACAGACCTAAAGGAAACTGATTTGTTGAGCCCTGCCTGAAGTCAGCCCTACTGCTAGATGCTTCAGTTACGTGAGCCTTCGTTTATTACACCAGTTTGGATTGGACTTTTTCTTATTTACAAGCAAAAGCATGCTTTTACAGAGGCTTCTCTGTGTTCAGGAGAATGACTTGCCCAGGACCACCCACCTAAAGGCTGAGTTTTTTGGTGCACAAAGTTAGAGTACAGGAAAGATGAAGTCCTGGGCAGTGAGTGGAGTCCTGAGGAAGACAAGTGGGGGTCAGTGGTGGAGGGAAAAAGGAATATGTTCCAGTTTAGGCAGGAACCAAGAGCTAAGAAAGAAGGATGCATTTGCAAGATAGCTTTTCTTTTTGGGGGGCAGTGGGGTGTCATGGGAAAATCAAGGTGCAGATATTGGGGAAAGTACCAGACTGGTGAGAGCTTGGAAAACCAACCAAATAAATGTAAACAACATGGTCGTCAAAAGGAAGTCAGTGTTTAAGCAACAAAGTGTTATGAAATGCTTTAGAAAGAACCTTGGAGTAAGGATGGAGCCAGTTGAGAACAGAGCCCAGGAAGCCACTGTTCGTGGAGACTGTTAGTGACCTAGACATGATGTGACAGGAGTGGAAGAGGAAAATGGTATAATGCCAAATATGTACTAACAATACCTACCTGATTTGAGGATCTTTGCTGGGTGCTGGGAATATAGGATGGAAAATACTGGACCCTAGATTTAAAAAGTTTACAGTCTGCTGAGGAAGACAGAGATAGGTGTGTGATGTGGCATTAAAGATAACAGGATAGGAATTGCAAGGAAATATGTATATTAAACAAAGGAACAAGTAATGGGTGAGGTAGGGAGAATTCACAGAGGAATGACAGTGAAGATGAGTGACAGTGTATAGGAAGTCCTGGCTTGGCTTCATGACAGAGGGACCTGGGAGTTAAGGGAGAAGGAAGAGCAGAATCTAGCCATGGGAACAGAAATAGAGACATTTTGAAGGCAGACTCCAAGGTGGGGCAGTGACTATCCTTCCAAGGGGTGAAGGAAAAGCCTGTCACCTGCATGTTTTTTGGTCTAGAGAACCTGGTCAGTGGTGATGCTATAAACAAAACAGGAGAAGGATGATAATAATAAATAAGTTATAAATACTTATGTATTAGGCACTGTTAATCCTTATAATAAACATAGTGAGTAGTTGTGGTGACTATTATGCTCATTATATGATGAAGAACCAAGGCCCAGAGAGCAGGCAGCAGAGTCATACTTTGAGCAGAGGCAGTTTGATTCCAGAGCCTGCTCTCTTATTCTCTACACTAAGCTGCCTGAGGAAGTCTTCTGCATGCAGGAAAAAGGTGACTGAAATAATTTCAAATGACAATAAGGCTTGTCAGTTACCTTTGTTTCAGCCCTGAGACACTTTCCCATAATGACATGGGTAAGATACAAATTTCTTGTTAACCCCAAATAATAAAAACCACCAAACTTTGACAAATCAAGTGACAAATCATTGTGATTGCTTAGCACGAAGTGTCTGCAAAGTGCATTACAGTTATTGAGCAGTCAGTAGTTGTACTTCAGAATGCTTTTATGAGTGCCTTACGCTGAGACTGGCTAAATGTGTGAAAAGGGCAAGGTGAGAGGTACAGACAAACCTGGGGACTTCTACTCCCCTAAATTTCTTGAAAGAAATCCCCAAAGCTTAAGCATCATCTCAATATATGAATAATGTTTAGTACATCTGAAACCCAAGTAAGGAACATCCAGTATGGGTTAGCCTTTGAGCTATTGTCTGCCTCATAGAAATGATATTTAGGAAAACTATTGAATGGTTCTGTAAGAGACCCATTTTGTGCAGTTACTTGGTTCTGTTTGGAAACACTGAATCAAATGATTCTAAAGGTGGGGTCAGTGTGGCGGTTGGTGGTAGCCATCATGGAGGAACCTTTTCCAGGGTTATTCTCAGTCTCAGTCTTATCAGGATACAGAAGAGAATGCAGGTAATTAATATACTTGATTGCAGCTCTGAGGGTTTCCACTTTGCTGAGCCGCTTCTCCAAGTACTCCTCTGGCAGATGATGTCGGAGCTGGGCATAGCCTTCATTGACACATTTCACTCGCTGCCTTTCCCGCTCATTCCTTTTCCTGATAAAGGCTGGCCCATAGGAATATTCACACCTTCTATAATTTGGATAAGGCATTGGGAAAGAGAAGGGACATGGTTCACCATAATTTTCCATGATTAAGGCATCACTGGAAAAAGGCAGCAATTGCAGGTCTTCGGAGTAAGGGGATGGCCCCGGGGCCTCAGGGTACAGGTGGAAAGTGACCATGGGGTCCAGATAGAAGGATCTGGGCAGTGGCAAGTGGGCAGAATCAGAGAAAACAGGCAGTTTTTCTGGCAGATTAGAGTAGCTTCTATTGTCCATCATTTCCTCTTTAGCCTGAAAACAAAACCAAGTTAATTAATTTGGCTAGCTCAAAAGAGAGCAGGTATCATCGACTTTATCAGAGATCAATGTTTTAAAGACTTTTCTGCTTTGATGAACAGCTTCTGAGCTCATTCGAAAAATTAGATGGGATTACAGTATTCTGTGGATGGCAAGAGACTGGATTTTTAAAATTTGGTGTGATTGTTCTCTGTCCCCAGAGCAAATACAGGTACCAGTTACACAACAGAAAAGACAGACAAACCAGGTTGGAAGACAGTGACGAACTCAGAAAGCAGTTTTGTCAAATGCTACTGTTGGATGTCACATAACAATGGCAAATGAGGTACAGGAGCAATCACCATTGTGTATACATGTTAGCATTCAGCTCTTTTTGATTGGCTAAAATCCTGATACACACAGACTGTGAAATCGCTTTTAGAATGGGGAAAACATCTCAAGTCAAAGCTGTCAATGAATTTTTTTTCTGCTTGTTAAGAGACAGGATTTTTGATGGTATACAGCAACAGCACTAGTAACACTGAATCACTTTGTGAGCAGGCCATTCCATTCCACATCTCTTTCAATCCTTGTGATTACAAAGATACAGCTTCAGGCTGGTAAGACTGTGTCTCCCACTACCAGCATGCTTTCTGTCCTCCTCAGATGGGAGCCTTGAATAAGCAATAATAGGCAGCTATTAGGTAATATTTTCCTGTTCATTTCAATTTATTGTGAATTATATTGATTTCCCATTTACAGTAGTGATACAGGGTTTCTTTTAAAAATAAATCTGCTTAAGTAAAAAATGTGAATTGATTTAAAGAAAAACAAAGTAATAGTACAGGTGGAATGCAGATAATGAAGACTGTGAAGACATATGCAAATAACTGAAGTTTGGGAAACACTGAAATACCACAATGTTCAAATACATGTTGGAGACATTACAAACAAGTTATGATCATGCAGCCTCACAGGCATAACCTTCTTAAATAATACTTGATATGCCAGGGGGTAAAGCTGAAGATAAAAATAAGAAAGGAGTCATTTGCTCTTAAAAATTCACTATCAGATTCCTTTAAATGAGAAACTCCCCTAATACATTTAAAATGTAATCAATTTGTGTATTTTTATTTACATGGAACTTTAAATATATTGAGCAGAGTACATCTGTATTTAGGGTTTTGTATTTTTCATGCAACATAAGGATAAAGTATTATATCCCAAAGGTCCCACATGAACACATTCCCTCTTTCCAAATAGGTCTGCATACATCTCATTTATTAAACCACCTTTAACTATATATAATAATATAGCCACAACAGACTTGACAAGGATATTACAGTTTTATCTTTTAACTAGGAGGCAGGATGTGCTGTTAGAAAAGAGCATTTTTCTTTCAGTTATAACACCCTCCAGTTTCAATCTTGGCTTTTCCTCGTCCTAGCTGTGTGTCCTCAGGCAAATTTCTTAACCTCTCTGAGCTTCAGTTTTTTCCTATGGCCAACTGAGATACTAACTAATCCACATTGATTGTGAGGATTAAGTGAAAAAGTAATGAGGATTAATGTACCAGACATTGATTCTTTTCCTTTCCTTTCTTAACAGATGAATACTTGTGTAGCATCCCTTTCTAAACTACACCTTACAGAAAACCTGGCTTATATTTTCCTTAAACA